TATATATATATATATAAATTTCTATTTATCCTTAGTAAACATATTGGTAAAAGATTCATGGACATATACTGTCACTGCTATGCTATTAATACTAATGAGGAAAAATAAACAACCTGGAAGTCCACCAACAATTGAATTGGTTGAATAAGTACTGGAACATTCAGATAATAAATATGTGGGAATTAACAGTCTTTTAAATAACTTTAAGTAGCATAAAAAATCCTTAAGTTATAATGTTCTTATCTTTTTTAGAAAAAAGCTATTTACTTATTTATTCTATGAATAAGAGGGAGAGAGAGAGAGAGAAACAGATCCCCACCAGGGTCTTGATGCCATGATCCAGCCCCAGCGTCCACCAGCCTCAGACCACAGGCATGTGTATGCTCAGCACATGCATGACAGGAGCCTGAAGTCGTCTCTTGTGGGCCAGCCTGGCAGAGTGCTGTGTTTATGGCCCACCATCCGGGCCCAGGCTCTGATGTTCAGTGAAAAGGCCAGGACATAAAGCCATGTATCCTTATACGTACAGTTACATAGATTATAACTGTAGTAAGCTCATACAACTTAGAACAAAATATAAGAAACATTAATAATGACTAACTATGCTTGGAGGAATATATGACTATTTCATTGGTTTTTAAACATACTTATATTTCAACTTTCCAAGTTTTTTGCATGAGCTTTTTCTTTTCTTTTTTATTTGCCAGAGAAGGTATGCGTGCTTTCTAGACAGAGAGAGAGGGAGGGAGAAGAGAGAAAGTGAGAAGGCACCCCTATGATGGGGCATGGTCACACTACAATCCCTTCTCTATTTCTCTCTTCTTTCAGGATTTTGGGCATGCACATATATGTGTCCAGTATGCTTTTCAAGCCAGCAGGTCCAGGACTTGATCCACATGGTCCGCCATGTGGGATCCATCTGTCTTAACCATGAAGCCATGGGTTGGCCCTCTGCATGAATATTTTTACTTAAAAAATTAAAAGACTGAGCTTCCACCTCTCCAACAGAATCCAGTTCCATCTCCAACTCCCTGGTGAAACCGAGGACCCTGAGGCAGGGCCGGTCACTGGCCACAGCCCAGCTTCCTGAACCCCAGAGTTCCCCCTGTCTGTAAGCCCACAGGCAGGTTCCACCTCTCCAACAGAACAAGTTCCATCTCCAACACCCTGGCAAAACCGGGACCCTGAGGCAGGGCCGGTCACTGACCAAAGCCCAGCTTCCTGAACCCCAGAGCACCTCCTGTCCGTAAAATAGGCAGTTCTTGTTCTTCTTCTTCTTTCTCTCCTTCTTCTCTCCTTTGTTAATCTCCTACTCCACCTTAGCCCACAGGCAGCTTTCACCTCTCCAACAGAACCCAGTTCCATCTCCCACTCCCTAGAGAAACTCCTCTTGTGGAGAGCACATTGCTAAACATAGCCGAAGAGAGACTTTGGCACACAATTGACCACAGCAAAAGGGAAGCACACTTGTTTCAAGTTGAGGAAACATTCTCCAAAAAGGTATTCAAAAGTGAATACATCTCCCAATGGCTAGAAGTAGAAGACAAGCCTCAGGTCTGAATAAATCAGGAAATATGTCTCCATCAAAAGAACACAATAACTTTCTTCTACCTCTTGAAAAAGTAGAGAAAGTTACCAAAATGTCAGAGAAAAAATTAGGAACATTCATGGTGACAAAACTATGAACTGGAACAGAAAAGAGACTTTGAACTACAAGAGATTAGGAAGTCCTTCCATGATATGAAAGAAGAAATGGACACTATATAAAAGAATCATATGGAACTATTAGAAATGAAGTGTGTAATACAGGAAATAAAAAACTCTCTAGAAAGTATTAAAAGTCTAGTATACCATGCTGAAGATTGAATCTCCAATGTAGAAGATTAAAAAATCTGACCTAGGAAAAAAACACCAAAAAGATAGAGAAAATAACAAGAAAACATGAGGATAATATACGTGAAATACTAAATTCCATTAAATGTCCAAGCATTCGAATAATTGGTATTCCAGAAAGTGAAGAAACTGATAAGGGCATGGGAAATCTATTCTATGAAATCCTGGAAGAAAACTTTTCAAGTCTAGAGAAATATTCACACATCCAGACCCAAGAAATACAAAGGACCCCAAATAGAATCAAACCAAGATCTTCCCCAAGATACATCTTAGCCAGACTGACCAAGACCACAGATAAAGACATGATACTAAAATTGGCAAGAGAGAAATGACAAATGACCTACAAAGGTCATCCCATCAGGCTAATAGCGGACCTTTCAATGGAAACAATGTAAGCAAGGAAAGAATGGCAAGACATATTGAAAGTGTTAAGAGAGAAACAATTCCAACCAAGATTATTATACACAGCATGATTATCCTTCATATGGGGAAAAAAAGATTAAAATCTTCTCAGACAAACAAAACCTTAAAGAATTTGCTAACGCCAGACCAGCTCATTAAGAAACTGAAGAGAGTGCTGTTCCAGGAAAACTAAAGAATAAACATCTAGGGATAAGGGAATAAAAGTTAACCAAGATGATGACCAACTTGAAGGTAGGATCCAGTCTGGAAATATCGATAATAACATTGAATGTTAATGAATTAAACTCTAGAAAACAGAAACTCTCTACCTGTTGCCTACAAGAAACGCATCTCATGGATAAAGACATACATAGACTAAAAGTGAAGGGCTAGAAAAAGATATTCCATGCAAATGGGAACCAAAAAAGAGCTGGAGTCATGATACTAATTTCTAACAAAATAGACTTTAAAACCAAAACTGTTTGAAGAGACAAAGAAGGGCACTATATTGTAGTAAAAGGATTAATATAGCAAGAAGATGTAACACTTATAAATATCTATGCAACTAGCCCAGGAGCACCCAATTATGTGAAGGAAAGACTGCTAGATCTAAAAGGAGAAATAGACTGCAACACACTAATTTTTGGGGACCTCAACAACCCACACTGTCTTCTCTGGACAGATCATCTGGATAAAAACTAAGAGATAAAATATCTAAACGAAACCATAAAACAAACAGATTTAACTGACATCTATAGAACTTTCCACCCAAAAACCATGAGATACATATTTTTCTCACCCCTGCATGGGATCTTTTCAAATATTGACCACATTGATAGGGCATAAGGCAAGACTCTACATATTCAAAGGCATAGAAACTATATTCAGCATCTTCTCCAACCATGATGGAATTAAACTTGATTTTAATTTCAAGAGAAATCTTCAAAAACACACAAATATATGGAAACTAAATAACCTGCTCCTGAATTACTTCACAACTACTGAAGAAATAAAGACTGAAATAAAAAAATTATGGAAGCCAATGATTATGAGGACATGAGTCTCCATAATCTTTGGGACACTGCAAAAGCAATCAAAAGAGGGAAGTTTCATAGCAATCAGTGTACATAAGAAGAAGATGGAAAGAAGGCAAATGGATCACCTAACATCATGCCTCAGAGAATTGAAAAAGCAACAGCAAAAAAATTAAAAAAAAAAAACCCTAGGAGAGAAGAATAATAAAAATCCGAGCAGAAATAAATGAAATAGAAAATAAATGAACTATACAGAAAATCAATGAAAGTAAAAGCTGGTTCTTTGAAAAGATAAACAAAATTGATACACCACTAATGAGACTTATTAAGAAGAAAGAAAGGCACAAAGTAAATCAAATTTGCAGTGAAGCTGGCAATGTCACAACAGACATAACAGGAATACAAAACATCATTAGAGGATACTATGAACAACTATACGCCAACAAACAAGAAAATCTGGGTGC